ACGCCCCTACACCTCTCTTCTTCGCTTCATTCCTTCGCCAACTTTCGACCAGGCTTGGTTCCATCTTGCGTCTTGGATTTTTCTAGGTTGTAAACATCTCTTGTATTCTTTTCGGTGTTTCTCTGGGGTGTTGGATTTTTCTAGGTTGTCAACACCATCTTGTCAAGGAAGTCAGGGTTTCGATGGTTGCGACGTTGGCGTTTCTCTGGGGCGGGTAACAGATGGCTTTGATGCCTTTCCTGTCAGCCAGACAGCTAGTTGCAGGTGGCATGGTTGATTGGAGCCTAGATGGCTGGTCACAGGAGGCCACGAAGCATGGAACCTGTTTGATGTGCCCAGGTCGCGAAGTGCACAACAGCGAAGAAACTCCTAAGCGATGTGATGGATCTAATAAAACTAGGTGATGTGGCAGGTTTGAATATGGAGAGTTGAAATGTTTAGAGAGACTGTTAGATTAGTTGAGTTTTTTTAGGGGAGGGGTCATTTTAGAGATCAGCTAAAACAAGAAATTTGTAATATATTTTTAGTTAATTTCTTGGAGTTGCTCTTATAATGTATCTAACTCCGCCTATGTTGTCTCAGCATAGCAGGTCACAAGCCCTAGTAAAGGAGGAGGGTTGTGATAAGCATGGCGAGCCAATGTTAAATCTAGCCATTCTAATGGAGATGAAACCCGAAAGAAAACCGTTGGGGCGTAACCCTCTTAGTGACGCGCCATATCGGAATCCGGGTATGGTGTTAAATGAGCAAGGGCCAGGTCATCACCCCCGTGATGTGCCGTGTCGCGATCTGGGCACGGTGTCAAGTGAGCAAGGATCGGGTCGTCGCATCCTTAGTGGCGCGCTACATCGGCGCCCGAGTGTAGTGAAAAATGAGCAAGGGTCTTCACATCTGAGTCGACGGGTGCGTAGGGTAAGGAAGCTAGTCGAACCAACTAGGATCCGTTTAGGTAGTTGGAATATAGGGTCGCTTACAGGTAAGTTAAGAGAATTAGTTGATACCGCGACTAGGAGGCGTGTAAATATATTATGCGTTCAAGAGACTAAATGGAAGGGTTAGAAGGCGAAGGAGGTGGACAATACAGGTTTCAAGCTTTGGTACATAGGGACAGTCACGAATAGAAATGGAGTAGGAGTTTTGATTGATAAGAGCCTCAAGAATAGTGTGGTGGGAGTGAGAAGGCAAGGAGATAGGATTATCTTAGTCAAGCTTGTCATTGGTGATATGGTCTTGAACGTAATTAGTGTGTATGCCCCCCAAGTAGGCCTCAACGAGAGTGCTAAGAGACAGTACTGGGAAGACTTAGATGGCCTAATTAGAGTTGTACCTAGTAGTGAGAAACTTTTTATAGGAGGAGATCTTAATGGGCATGTAGGTACTACAAGCGCAAGTTTCGAGGCAGTTCATGGAGGTTTTGGGTATGGTAGTAGGAATCAGGAGGGGGAGGAAGTTCTGGACTTCACGGTAGCTTTTGACCTGATGATAGCCAACACTTTCTTTAGAAAGAGAGAATCTCATCTAGTGACCTTTAGTAGCGGACCACACTCTAGCCAGATTGACTTTGTCCTCGCAAGAAGAAAGGACAAATGAGCATGCTTGGGTTGTAAGGTGATACCAGGGGAGTGTGTTGTTTCTCAACATAAGCTCTTGGTGGCAGACTTTCGTTTTTAGGTGCGTGCCCATAGGGATAAACAAGCTAAGATTGAAAGAACAAAGTGGTGGAAACTAAAAGGGGAGACGTCAGAGGTATTCAGGGAAAGGGTTATCAAAGAGGGCTCTAAGAAGGAAGGAGAGGACATAAACAACATGTGGGAGAAGATGGCAACCAACATTCAGAAGGTGGCCTCAGAGGTGTGTGGAGTAACCAAAGAAAGTGGAGGCGAGGCTAAAGATACTTGGTGGTGGAATGAGGAAGTCCAAAGGGCTATTAAGGAGAAGAAAGAATGCTATAGATGCTTGTACCATGACGGGAGTGTGGACAACATAGAGAAGTACAATGTGGCAAAGAAGACTACAAAGCGAGCTGTAAGTGTGGCAAAGGGTAGAGCGTACGAGGATCTTTACCAACATTTGAGTACGAAGGAAGGAGAGAAGGACATTTATAGGATGGCTAGGGTTCGTGAGAGAAAGACAAGGGACTTCAACCAAGTTAAGTGCATTAAGGATGAAAGGGAGCATCTCTTGGTGAAGGAGGATGAGATCCAACATCGATGGTAAGAGTATTTTGACAAATTGTTCAATGGTGAGAATATGGACACAACCTTTCAGTTGGATGACTCTTTTGATGACACCAATAGGCACTTTGTGCGGAGAATCCAAGAATCTGAGGTCAGAGAGGCGTTGAAAAGGATGAAAGGAGGTAAGGCGATGGGACCGGATGGTATCCCAATCGAGGTGTGGAGATGCCTTGGGGACATAGCTATAGTATGGCTAACCAAGTTGTTTAACCATATTTTTTGATCGAACAAGATGCCTGACGAGTGGAGGAGAAGTATATTGGTACCGATCTACAAGAATAAAGGGGATATTCAAAGTTGTACTAATTACCGGGGAATTAAGTTGATGAGCCATACTATGAAGCTATGGGAGAGAGTTATCGAGCATCGCTTGAGAGCAATAACGCGGGTCTCTATGAACTAATTTGGTTTCATGCCCGAAAGGTCAACCATGGAAGCTATTTTCTTAATAAGACAAGTTATGGAGCGGTATAGGGAGAAGAAGAAAGACCTATACATGGTTTTTATTGACTTGGAGAAGACTTATGATAAAATACCAAGGAATGTTATGTGGTGGGCTTTGGACAAACATAAAGTCCCAACGAAGTACGTCGGGCTCATTAAGGACATGTACATCAATGTTGTGACTAGTGTTCGAACAAGTGATGGAGATACAGATGACTTCCCAATTAGGATAGGACTACATCAAGGGTCAGCTTTGAGCCCTTATCTGTTTGCCTTAGTGATGGATGAGGTCACAAGGGACATACAAGGGGACATCCCTTGGTGTATCCTTTTCGCGGATGATGTAGTGCTAGTTGATGAAAGTCGGACAGGAGTGAATCAGAAACTGGAGTTATGACGGGAGACTTTGGAGTCCAAAGGTTTTAGACTCAGTAGAACTAAAACTGAGTATATGAGATGTGACTTCGGCACTACTACTCGGGAGGAGGAAGATATTAGTTTGGAAGGTTAAGTAGTGCCTAGGAAGGATACCTTTCGATATTTAGGATCAATGCTACAGAGAGACGGGGATATTGATGAAGATATTAGCCATAGAATCAAAGTAGGGTGGATGAAGTGGCGCTAAGCATCTAGTGTCCTATGTGACAAAAAGGGTACCACAGAAGCTAAAAGGCAAGTTTTATAGGACGGCGATTAGACCTGCTATGTTGTATGGTGCAGAATGTTGGCCTACGAAAAGACGACATGTTCAACAGATAAGTATCGTGGAAATGCGTATGTTGCGTTGGATTTGCGATCATACAAGAAGGGATCGAGTTCGGAACGATGATATACGTAATAGATTAGGGGTAGCACCAATTGAAGAAAGGCTTGTCCAACACCGGTTGAGATGGTTTGGACATGTCCAACGGAGACTTTCAGAGGCACCAGTGCGTAGTGGAATCCTAAGCCAGGATAGTAACGTGAAGAGAGGCAGAGGAAGACCGAAGTTGACTTGGGTAGAGGCAATAAAAGAAGACTTGAAAGAATAGAATATACCCAAAGACTTAGCCCTAGATAGGAGTGCTTGGAAAATAGCTATTCACGTGCCTGAACCTTGATTGTTTCTGCTGGGTTTCAACTCTAGCCTACCCCAACTTGTTTAGGACTTAAAGGCTTTGTTGTTGTTGTTGCTGTTGCTGCTCTTATAATGTATCTAAACTTGTGCAATGCAATTTACTCATGTTTGGTTGCCCGCCAAGACCTTTATGGAGGCTTGCACATTCCTCATAACACAATAAGGTTGTATTAGCTAGAGAAATATTGAGTACAAACTGCGTCTTCGATGGAATCATGAAAATCCTATAAAAACATAATTACGAGTTTCTGAGTAACTTGAAACAATGCAGATCCACGGTACATCTATACAGTACATTGTCATAAAATTGAGATTCCAACGCATTTAAAAAAATATATGAAAATAACAAATTTTGGGTGCATATACACTATAAGACAAATTCATATGCACCAGAATTTTATTAATTTTATTTGAAATTTACAAAATGAGGTTGCATGTCTAACTTTTGTGACAATGTACATCTGTAAAGGCACTATGGATATGCTTCATTTCAAATATTTTGAGAACCCCTAGGTATGTTTTTCTTAGGGGTTTTCACGATTCTAACGAAGATGCGATTTGTAATGAATATTTTCTTGCATTAGCTAGTAAGCAAGATTTTTTATGGTATTGGAAAATGCAGGTATACATAAACCATTGAGAACTACAAAAATGAAATCTCCTAGTCTCTCCTCTGTTGGAACATAGATTATACTAGCAAGTAGCAACCAACACAATCTTAACAAATGCATCTGATATTCTTATATATATGCAAGACAATACCAAACACTTAAATATGCATTTATACTAGCTTAGATTGTGCTACATATGTCCTAATATAATGGAGGCTTAGTCTAGTGTAACCAATCTATCACACCTTATATTCGAGCTTTAGTTTTCTGATGCCCGGCCACCAAGGATTCCAAACAATTACTGATTCCAGTCTGAGATTATATTGTATGAGAATCACTTGCCGAAAGGGCTACATCAGCACGAAATTCCCTAAAGACGATCACAATTCACAACCTTCTGGTGCTGATCTTACGCAGCTTATTGTAAAAAGTTACAAGGTAAGCCTGACTTTCCTCTTCTTCCAACAATAGCAGAAAGATACAAGGCGATACAAGCCATGGAACCAAAATGCATTTCATAACCCAGTGGGCTTTAGCGATGCTCATGCTGTGTACGGGGTCTGCCTATCTGATGTATTACCGAGTATTACCCTACTCTATCTTGGACAGGAGCAGCAACCTTAAGCTGGCAGCTCTAGCTTCACATTGTTCTTCCAGCTGCACCATTGTTTGGAGAACATTTTCAATGAAAGGAACATTCGTAAAAAAAAAAAAGATATCTAGGTTAGCCAAAGGAACTTATAGTTACCTCATTATGTAATAATAGAAGAAGTCAGCATACAACAGAGTTTGCACTATTCCTGCCACCCAACCTGGGTTGAGAAAAACACAAAGAAAATGGGTGCATGAATAATGGTTACATCTAACATAATGGGGAGTGCAAATGGATGTCACATCTTATTTAATGAAATGATGCGCAGCTCCCCTGCACATTCGAGGAATAAAAATGGATGGCACAAGGAATTCATACTTATCCAGTGGACAAAATGGGGCTCAGTGAAGTATCGGTAAATCCAGTTAAGGATATAAAGCACGCGGTAGGCACTGCATCATAACCAAGAGAATCTGTTTTAGGAATAGCGTATAAAGTAAAGAAGACAAATTAAGGCCCAAAAGGAGATGACTGATCCTAGCATGATATATCAAATATCAGAAGGCGGAATAAGAAAATTCATCTCTGTTGCCTATTTCACTATATAGGCAATGCCGATCAAATATTGTTCATACAAAACTTTTGTTGAACAGTCCTGTGCATTGTTTCTAGGCAAATACATTTTCTGTTTTTATGCATTTTCAGTAAACGCCATATATAGATCTTACCCCAAGAAGAAGACATTGACCAGTCAGGTTGTCAATATTCCTTGTCCGCTGTAGCAAAACAAGTTGTGGAAATATCGCAACAGCTTCCAAATAAATGGAGAATGCCCACATCACCTGCTCCGGAAAATGACAAAAACGATCAGAACTGCATAATTTCAGAAGTGAAATTCCAACAAGATTATATACTAATCAGGAGGGGTTTGCTCCTCCTGTTTCCTTAAAAAAAAGGAGAAAATCAACAAGATTGGATGCAAGCACATTTCCATCACATCTAAAAACAATGGCTCCAATTAGGCAACAACCAAAGATCAAATGTCAGTACATACTCTAGAATGGTAATTGGGCTGACAGACTTGAATAGCCACTAGATTTGCATAAGCAATTAGCTAGAAATGTGGAAGATAGGAAGATGAAAACACTGACCTCTCTAAAAGTAAACTTCTCATTAATGAGGAGAGCCAGAAGAAGACAAGGCAACACTAAAACGTAATGGCGAAAGGTGTCATGATCCTTGTCATAGGTCCTCCGCACAATCTTATGCCGCTTCATGTACCAAACTATCGAGAAAGAACTTGCCAAGAAGACCAGCTTCATGGCAGTGTTATACAGAGACACAAAATGAACAAACAGGTCCAGATAGCGGGCTGCAAAAACAACTGCATACAGCTCCTGCGTCTTCAGAGATATGCCTGCAAGAAAGTGTCATGTGAATCTTAGAGACCCATCGAACCATATAGCAATAGAAGCTTGCTAAACATTAACATGATGTTAGGTAATAATTACTAGAGTAGCCGAATACACACAATGGATCGACATCAAGTTTATGCTGACTGAGAGGCGTGCCCAAACAGGTGGGTGATTGAGCCTTCCATAATCACTGTCAGAAATGATAGAGGGCATACAGCAGCATTCTTCCTAATAAGGTTAACTCTCTGCTCCCTCGAGCATCGGCATTATAGTACACCCTATAACTATGAGCATTGAGGGCCAAAAAATGGATGAGTTTCATGGTGTCAAAATCCGCACATATTTTCAGCCTCATAGCGCTATATGCATAGCCGCAGTACTAGTTGGCAATGAAATGGTCAAAAAAGGTAGTCTTCCTCCGCTTGTTTGCAGACAATTCTCTAAGTCAAGCTATACGTGACGGACATTGAAGGGCACAAAAAACTATGGCACACAGCCGAAGATCCTAACATAGATAGCCGAGCGGTGAACACAGTTAGCTGCAGATTGCATATGAGGATTGAGGACCAGTAACCTGCAGCCTAACGGATGAGCCTCCTCAAATTTGAGAAGAGCAGCCGCAAGGTCTTCCCCTTATCACGTTTCCTCGTTTCCTACCTACACAACAAATTCCTTGCGCCGTTCACAATGGGGGAAAGACGGGATCAGCGGGAGGCACGCAGTGCGAACGCCGCATTGCGTACACCACCGCAGCCACCTGCTCCCCTCGAGATCGAGATCTCCAGTGCGGTCCCAGAAGACCCGATCGCTAAAATCCGGAGAAAATGGCAGCGCAATTCGTTTCGGTTCCTAGCCCTGATCCCAGTGGGGCGGAGAGGGGAAGAGAAGGGCGTACCTGCGCACGACTTGATGGTGTGGATCTTGAGGAGCAGCACCACCACGCTGAGCAGGTGGGTCATGTCCCCCGCCAGCCGGAACACGTTCATCTCCGATCCCCCTCCTTCACTTTCCCTCCGCCCTCCGGTCCTTTTCACGAACGAAAGGTCCTCCTCCCCTCTCGCTCGCGCGCGCGCGCCGGGGGCTCGTCGGCGAGTGGCTGTGTTCCCTCGCGCGTCGGGGTCCCGGTGGCGGAGACGGAACGGACCCGAGACGGGAATGAAAAGAAGGTCGGGTCGACACAGACTGGATACTGGGCCCGGGTGCCCAGGATGTCAGTTGGTGCAATAGAGCGTGGCGGGTCGGAGACGCCAAGACGGCCGTGGGCAAGCGAGGGAAGTACGTGGCGAGGCTGAGGTGGCGGAGCGCCATTGGAAGCCATGAGCACACGCCGTCGCCGACACGCGCGACACGAGCAGCATGCGGATTAGCGGAGTTGGGCCGGCTCAGCGTAGCAGCTAAGATGGGCCGGGCCGTTAAGCCTAGCAGAAATTGCTTCTTCACTATGGGATACTTGTGCGCAGTTACAAAAAAAAAAAACTTCTGAGCACGATAACACGCGGCAGAGAACGCATTACCAGCAGTCGTGGGAGTGGAGGGACCGAGGGAATATGGCCGATTCTTTTTAGAAAGGCCGTAATCACTCTCACGATAGAAGTAACAAGATGACAACCACCACCACAACATAGTGCCCATGAAGCCATCAAAGTAGCAACGAGCAAACATCATCTCTCACGCTCCAAGAAAACAAGCAAAGTGTAACACTGTAGAAAAAAAGAAGGAAACTTTTTTTTTCGAAAAAATGCCTTGTTGGGTTAGTTCAAACTAGCCCAACTCTTTCATAACCTTTTGGACCAGCATCCTTCTCCCACTTATGTTTTGTCCTCTCCAAACTAGTTGTCGCTTTCTTTTCCAATGATCCTATTTTCTCTCCCTAGACTCTCGAGTGAGCCATCCATTTCTCCGATGCTCAATCCCTTTAGTCACATGCCTTTTCCTCTTGGCAGAAACTTCACCGATGCACACATTTCTCTGGTGCTCCTTGGCCGCAGCCACCAGTGATTTCCGGTGGTTCCTAAGAACATGTGCAGAACAACCTAACACCTGTTCTCCGGCATTTAACACTAGGCATGTCTGATGCATGAGCGTGCAATTAACTCTATTTCTTCACGTCTTTGCACTCGGGCTTCTTCTTCCACTTGGTAACTTGGACTTCTTGCATGATTTGTAGGTCTTTGGTAGCTTCTAATGTCTTGCTTGGGGTGTTGATCACTATGATCTTCACGTTGCCTTTTGTCCAAGCCAACTTTACATCCATTTGAACTTAAACCTTGTATAGTAGGAAACATTATTAGTCCAAATGGTTATTTTGTTTATCAACCACTAAAATCAACTATTGGCCCTTGCTAGATGCCATTTTCTTTACACACCCAACTCAAATCCGCACTATTGCCATCCCTATCACGACTCCTCCTCCTAACTATACATACTATTCAAAGTTCTACATGTGCAATACAAAACAGGGTGAGAGAGATCATAACCAGTGATATGGTAGGTAATTTCCATGCAATACGATGTCCACTTTTGTTTGTTTGATTTTCACAATCGAGGGATCTTCAAGAGTTCCTTGATCCAACCTCCTATAGTTTTTAAGGTTTATAGAGTAACAAAACAACATCCAAAGCTCTCTTTAATCAAATCTTATATTTGATGGCATCTTAAATCACTTCCTCTACCCTCATACATGGGTAATATAATGGTCATCCCCCTTATCTACTTCGTGTGTAATTTTTTTCTAGTCACGGTTACTTTCCTACCATATACTAGCACCTCTCCACGTAGGACCATATTGCCATGTGTCCCTCCCACGCTGACTGCAAAAGCATCAAACACCCCTCCCACCACTTCCACATCATCCATATCCAATCAAACCAACCCAAAAGATATCCAACTCAATGAAGCCACCTATCCAATCCAACATCGTGTTGACCCAAATCCAATCCATTCATCCAAATAATTTCAACGTTAGTTGGTCAGACCGTGCGGCAACATGACGGGCTTCTCTTCCTTCTGAATGTGATAATGCTGGTGTTGCGGCCTCAGCTACATCTTAGCTAGAGAGTCGCTGAATTGGCGTGTCCTCTTCAATCTTCACTTACATGTCTATGATATGTTGCTGCATCACACTCTACTCTGCTTCTATGTCGATGTCCATCAGTCCATCTGCTGAGGGGCAGCTTGAACACGCCTCCCTTAGTCTTCCTTCCGCCGGACGTCATCGTGTTTGGCGAGTGGCAGGACACGGGCTCATGCCACGACGATAATTTCTCCGCCACCTTGGTGGAAGAAGAGACGACTACGCTGACCATGCTTGTCGTCCAGGCATCCTTGCTGGTTCTATCGTCAGAGGACACCATGACTTCTTTCGAGCATCGCAATCCTCTACCACCAGGCCTCTGGTTAGGAACGACGGGATGCACGGCCATGGTGAGTGAAAGGCGTATGTCCTTGCGCGCGAGTGACAGGAGGTGATCGGTAGACGAGAACTCGAGTTCCCAGCTATCATATCCTCGCAAGGGCGAGCGACACGAACGCGGAGTCGATTAGCTGATCGTCCTGAACCTACACCTGTGGCCCCAATGGATTTATGGATATCTAGGTTCTGGTATCCAAACCAATCCGATGTGTATTGGTTTCATCATAATGGACGTGTCCAACTCCAAACTAATCCATCCAATTAAATCCAACATAGGTTGAGTCTATTTGGGTTATGTATCAATAGGGGGAGATTGGTGCTCTGGAAGAAAGACAAGGTCAATGAAAAATCGTGGCCCGGATTACTTACATGGCATGTTTAAAATAAAAGAGGTAGATATCTAAAGAACTATCATGGCAAACAATCTGATGATGAATACATAAATGTTTAGGATAGCCATATACAACAATGAACAGGGGATTAAATTTAGAAGGGCTCTTCAAGATAGGGAAGATAGGATGTTGGATCACTAAATCATGATATTATATATATTGTTATAATTTAATATTGTATAAACCTAGCTGTTTGAACATGTCAAACAATTACAACCAAAACAAATGGGGCTTAAATTAGGGTCAAAACTTCACATATATTAATATTTTGGTCTGAATAAATAGTAGTAGTAAGATGACACAAATATTAGTCTCTATAATAAATATCTAAAATACATTAATATTTTCCACTGTGAAAGGCAAATCAGTAGAATTGGAATTTTAACTTAGGCTCGTTAAATTATGTGCTCTCCAGTAGACCTGTATCAGACACCTAGTGAACATGAATAATCATTTTTGTGCTCTCCAATAAACTATTATGTAAACTATATAAAATCGGGATTCTTCCACACAAGCAGTTATGTTTTCAATATGTTGTATCTTTATTAGCGCTTGTTCTGTTTCCAAAATTCTGTGAAACATGTCCAAAATTTCTAGGGCACTCGCTCATATCAGTTGTTCAAGAATACAATGAGTAGGGGCACAACGAACGAGCTAGGAAAAGGAAAAGAAATATTCTCCAGCCCCATTTAAAAAAAACTAACAAGACACGGAACCAAACATTTTTTGAAGAAAAAAAAAAAAAAATACACGAAAACCCCCGTGAAAAGAACCATCATCTTAATTCACAAACACTATGTGCATCCTAATAATATAATTAGTTAGGGGGAACTCTATCTAACACCCCATTTCGCTCTTTGCCACTAGCAGCCAGCGAGGCCATGGCGAGCTCAAACTGCTCGAGGGTGGTGAGGTTGGAGAGGGAGAACAGCTCCCTGGCCCCCTCTAGGCCCCTTAGGTTTGACAAGTTGGTGGATCCGTCCAGGCCTATGTGCACCACGTGCTGCACATCCGTTGGAAGCCCGATCTCAATACTTGTGTCATCATCGTCCTCCTTCTCATCCTCATCCTTGTATATCTCGAAGATATGGGAGAGGTTCTTGAAGCTCTTGAAGAGCTTCCTGATCCCCGCGAGGAAGTCCCGCTCCTGCCTCGCAGCCTGTTGTTGTTGCTCCTGGTTGGCATTCTCCACATCCCTGATTACCGCTACCTCATCTGTCAATCAAGAAATAAAGGGGTGAAACTAATATAGTATATATATATATATATATATATATATATATATATATATACACACACACACACACATATATATAATAATAATAATAATAATAATAATAATAATAATAATAATAATAATAATAACCAATACAAAGATAGAAAATCTTTGGTGACTATTGCTAATTTACATACAAATTTACTCTTTATGTGGAACCCACTTGTCAATTAGCCGATGCTACAAATCTTCATATCCAAAAGTTTGTTCATAGGAAGGATTCCATATATACATGCGCAAGATAAGGGCATATGTACTTACTTGGAACTGGAGAATTACGGCTTGGTGAAGATTGTGTTTCAGGCTCCTCGTTGGGTTGCTGCTCGCTGATCGGTGTCATGCTTGCTGAGGGCGAGGCAGGAGCGAGCAAGCTAGCTAGTGTTGTGATTGTGAGTAGTGCCTGAGTTTGGTCGCTCAGAGTCGCAGTGTTATGTAGTGAGAGAAGAGAAAAGGAGAGGTGTGGAGTGCAAGGAAGGTAGTCAAACAATGGAGGTGGTTATGGTGGTTATACGGATGGATGGATGAATGGAGGTAGCTGCGGCCTTGAGTTGGTTTTCACGGGTGCAGATCTTGCCGTCCTTGCAAGTCTCTCTGCTCGGTGTCCAGTACGGCGGCCGCCGGGTTAACAACACCTATCAAGTAGTATGGTGGTTATACGGGTCAATGTTGTGTTATGTAGTGTTCAGCTGTGAATATATTTCGTTCCTCGCTGCTCCTATCAAGTAGTATACCCAAATCTGTGTTGGCACCTTGGCCTTGTCTCTCTGTTGCATGAATTTTGTCAGATGAGCCAATACAATATTAAAAGAGCCCAAATTAGTATGCAGTATATATGTATGTGCAAGAAAATTGGCAGATCCGCTTTTCCAAGGTGCATCATAGCATCGGAATTCGCGCTTGCCATTAATGTTTTTGCGCCCCGATATAGGCCACTGACCTTCATTATAACACACTCGTTCTTCCTTCAACAGTTAGGTCAACCCATGTGGTTTCCTATAACAAGATTTCAGGTGGCACGTACACTAGCCAAAAAGGATATTACAATTTTGTTTCCAAGGAAATAGTTACAATTATGACTTGATTGCCTTGGCAGTTAAGCTAAGCTCAAGCTTTAATTTTCTCAACTGTGTAGCTGATGACCTGTAGTATGTATCAGCGTGTATGTAGCGACGGGGACCTCTTTCTTTTTATTTTATTCTTTTTTATTTTGTTTTGTTTTTCACTTTTTCTGTACTTCAGTCGCCTGAATTTTGTGTCTGTTGTTCAGGCGATGTTCTATGATGAATTTTACGATGTCTTTAAGGCACATTGAGTAACAACAGCTTATATGGAGGGCCAAATCCACCTCCGGGTCAGCCGGGGCTCCAGCAGTCCTGTGTAGTGTAGGCCAGGCCATGGATGAAGGAGAAAAGGAGAGCTTTTTCTATAATCCCTTTACCATGGATGAAGGAGATTAAGGAGAAAACCAAAAGAAGACAGAAAGAAGGGAAAAGAGGTGGACGATGAATAAGAGGAGAAAAAAAGGGTAGATGAACCCCCATCCCTTGGCACACTCATCCGCCACTATGTTCATATATTTTCAGTTATTATTACAGGCAAAATTTGAAGTGGTCTTGCTACCTAATGGCAAATTATAGGGTTTTATTTATTGGTGTCCCGAAGCCAAAATTTGTCCTCGGCAAAATTAGGAGAATACCATACTCCCTCTGTTCCTTTGTATACATCGCATTATGATTAGAGATAATCAAACTCTATAGATTTTTACTATCAAATCATATAGCATATTTAGTGTATGACAATTATATCAAAATATTCATATTTCACAATATTTTAATACGACATTGATTTTGTACAAAATGATTGTATACAGTAAGAAAATTTGATGATTAAATTGTTCTTCCACCATTCTAAATTATAAGTCATTTGTTTTTTCTAGATATATATAGCTTTTATTATGTATCCAGTATCTAGATGTGTAACAAAAATTTATACTAGAGTCGAAACGATTTACAATTTAAAACGAGTCAAGTACTTCGTAATGCTTTTCCTACATTTTAGTACACTTTTAAAAGAAAACGAGGGACTAGCATGGTTTCATGGCCAAACCCAAATTTTAGGCTGGTACTGGTATAGAAAAAGGTCAGTTCTCTGTGGCCGGAAGATCCCTCTCCTATAGAAAAACGGGAATGCTAACTTCTGAGCGCGCACACTCCGCCGTCGGATGCAGGGCCGGGGATGTGGTCGTTCGATGGGCCTTCTTCCCCAACGCGTCCGAGCCGCGTCGCCCGCGCTTGCGCACTCGCCACGCCACGCGCCGGCCCGCGCCTTCTCCAACTTCGGCGGCGCCTAGGGTTCTGGTGAGCCGCGCCGCCCCCTTCTTCTCCAACTCCGGCGGGTATAGAAGGGGCCGGCTGGGGGGGCCAGGCAGTGGGGGTGGCCGGCGGGCGGTTTTGGGGAGCTGGCGACGGCAGCGGCATCAGTGGCTAGGCCAGGTCGGGGCTCGGGCGCCATGGCCGGACTTCGACAAAGCTCGCTGGAATTCACCATGGCCGCATGCGGAGGAGGCAGGGGGGAGGGGAAGGAGGTCGCCACTGGCGGTAGGTCTCACCGGAGCTCCGCGGCCACCCCTACCGCCGGCGGCGGGCTGGTAGGCACCAGGGCGATGCGGGACTCTATCCGCATACACCCGCGGTGGGTAGCGCTGCCCATAGAAAAAAATATTATTATTTATTTGTAATGGAAGAGGGCGAGTATACCGGCATTGTCCCAAAGTTAAAATGCAATGGACACGTCTATCTTGGGAGGTTCGTACAGTGAAGATTTGCCAGTCACACAACGCAAAGAGTTTTGTACTGGTGTTACGCCATGTACAATGCATAGTGCTTAGGCGTGAGTGCTTGCGAAAGAGAAGACTGCTAGATCATTAAAACACATAAAAGTTAAACTCTATACATAAACCGGTGCTTAGATATGACCTAGTCAACACACCTTAAACACGTAGTGCAAACTAAACCATCTTATCTTCAGATAAGCACCTGGAGTATATGACAGCGACAAAAGAATTGCTGTGATCAAGCACCAACTCACGAACAAAGAAGATAAATCAACATAAGATTGCAATGACTTGAATCAAACATAATGGCAAGTGCATTCAGGCCCTGACACTGCCCACAGCAAAGCAAAACAGAATAGCGAAGGACCACGGTGACCACCAGTACACAATACTCATGACAAAATGGGGCGAATGTAACTACCAGGGCAAACATGGCATTCAATCACATCTGCTTCTGTGCCGCCCGTACAGAACGTCCTGGGCTGGGATGCTAATAATTTCTGCTAGGCAAGATTACACCTTGTTTGGTCAAGCTGTCCACTACAGAAGTGGCATACATCCCTTAATTCGACAATAAGCTCTTTTGTTCAAGAAGCCTGGAAGCAAGAACTGAATCTTTGACCAAAGAGGACCCAGATGAAGCCTATGATTTTAGCACCTTTCAGCCATCTAGAAACAAAGCTAAGAGACGAAAATGTAATATTAGAGACAAGTTTTTTTCTTGGTGAAGAGATTGGAGCAGCGTATACATAAGTTATACTTTGGATACAAGCAATAAAAAATTGGCCATGCTCTCAATGAGACAGCTTCTACATAAGGACTGAAGGCAGCATGGCAGAGGACATTGTTGTCAGGAATGTGTCTGTACATACATGGAGCCCACAACTCGAGGCGTGCTAGAATGATTTTGGGCTACTTCATCATCTTTGTTTTGATCAGCAACCTACGGGAAGTTACACAGCAGGACATGAAATAGTTCAAGACTACCATCCAAGTGGAAGTAGCTGCTAGTACCTTTTCATCACAACGGAGGGTAGAAGTAGGATGAAACAGAAAACCCTAAGAAGAGAACACCTCCAATTGTCGCTACTGTTCGCTGCGAAATCTTTGATGCCAACATGCTCCCTCCTACCACAGCAAGAGATGTGCACACTGTGTGCCCCAATGATGCTCCGACTGCAACTCCAATTGCATTCTTGTGTGTTGCCAGCTGCATGGTGATAACAGAAGTAAAGAAACTTTGTGAGATACATATTTTTGCTCATGAATGTTCAAGTTCCTATAGTATCACAGCCCTCGATGAAAAATACAATGTTAGATACATCAAAGAATTTCAGTAAGTGGAGCAGTATCCTACCGCAATTGTTGCTATTTGGCTTCGGTCACCCCATTCAGCTAAGAAGGTTAATATGAAAGCCTGCAACCAGGATAAAGAGTTAAAATGTTAAGCCCAAGGTTGTCTCATAATGAGTCACATATCACAGGTACAGAATACATTTGTGGACTGACTTATACAGAAGCAACAAAAGCATCTGACAAACTTCCATAAGGTAACAAACTAACCTCCAAAAAGATTGGTGTACAAAATCTTGCAAAGAACCTACGGATGGTTGATTTTCCTTGACCTGACTCAAGCTTCTCCTCTACCTGCTCACACATGCATATATGTCATTAATTCATAACTAAAAGTACATCAAAAGATCTGTAGCACTTTTGAGAGCATACATTGAAGTTTAAAAGCAAGGTATAAGCATATAGTTTTCCAGTTCTGCAAATTAATGGACCTTTTACATGACCTTATTTTCATCAATAGCTTTAACCTATAGTTCGTAAGCCTGCACCTCAGTTCATACAGCTGCTAGTTTTACAGAGTACAGGTATCATGCTCTTACTTTTGAGTGATTAATGGTAGGCTCAATAATGTTTTCTTTTAAACATAAGTGAACTTGTACTTCAAGATTCCACAAGATAACCAATGATGGTTTCTATTTTAGTACATTGAACTGCCTCCCTCAGTCTCTCTTTTGCTTCTCATTCTAGAATGCACACATTCAACCTTCCAGTACTTAGACCATACACAAAATTATTTAAGAGTATCCACATGATATTGATATTAGTAGATGGCAAAGTGTCCAAAACAGCAGGTAAACAAGGATGTAGTGGACTAGCAAGTAGAACCAAACACCAAAACAATAATGGACATTTTCCAAGCCCCCCATGTTCAGAACAAGAACATGGTATACAATAAAACAAATGAGCTGCGCTATGCATAAGCAACGGCTATATTGGAAAAAGGACACGTACTTCTTCCATTTCCTTCTTCTGGGATCCCTTCGGGTCAGATTTCCAAGCAATATACAGCAACCGCAGTCCAAAAAACAAGTACAAAACTGGCAGGTAAACAAATTTGAGAGGTCACTCATGAGCAATGGCAAGGACATATCAGTGTGCCAAATTATTTCAAATGCAAACATGGCAATTCCAGCTACTAGGAGTCCCAGTCTATC